ACATGTCAGCAGTGTGGAAGCATTTAATACTGTTCGAGAAAGACGTAAAAAATCATTACACGCAAAGACAGCGAGAGACTGTTTAGTGCTGCATCACATCTCTTCGATGAGAAGAGGAAGGGGTGATTGTTGTTGGTTACTGTATGATGATTGAAATGGCCTTAAACAATTAGTAAATAACCTGCAGAACGTTATGTTTTCTAATATACGCACGAATTGCATGTATTCTGACAGCGCTGCACGAGCTCGTGGCGGATCTGCTTGTTAACCAGGGTTCAAAGCGCGAGGAAAATCTGCGCTCAAACAGTGTTATTCGTGCAGTCACATTTTTATGATTTTTTACAAGGCACGTGACAACGCGATACATGCGACGTATTCGTAATGAGACTCATTTATAAATCTTCTATCATCCAAAAGAAGCGATGAGGTCTTCCTGCACGCGCGTTTCCGCCAAGATAAAAGAAAAAGCAAGAAGTATTGTAATTTTACTGTTGTTCTGTAAAATAAAATAAAAAGTAAGACAATAATAATGATAATAACAGTGGTGGACAGTAACGGAGTAGTTTTACAAGTATCTGTACTTCACTGGAGTAGTTTTATTTTGAGTAACTTTTACTTTTACTTCACTACATTACAAAGCATAAGATCGTACTTTTTACTTCACTACATTTCATAAAACATATCGTTACTCCTTATAATTATTACTTATTACTCACGTGCTCCGATACGCAGAAGCGGTGTCTGATTCAAGAACGAAATGATTCTTTTCAATTAACCTTTTAAATCGGTTCGCAAATCGCACCAAACGATTCATTGACAAATTAGAATGATCCGATTGCAGCTGTTCTTGAGTTGACAACTCACTGATTCAAACGAACCATATTCCCCACTGCCGTAACGTTAACAGTTTTATTAAAATGCTACGCATTTAGCCATATGCGACATCTGTTTTTATATTGTTTATCAACAGTATACATTTTTTTATTGTTTAGATTAACTAGCCGAGTAGAAAGATATTAATTTTTATTCATAACCATACTGAAAATAAGTAAATATCGTTAGCTGATGCCAACTGTCTAGCTAACAAGCTTGCTGGTGCTAAGCTGAGGTAATGTTTAGATATAAAGTCCAAATATTTTTATTCAACCACCTAGATAGATTACATCTGGGGGGAAAGAAAGGATGGGATGTTCAGAACATGGTAACTACAGTAATTATCAAAGTGGCAAGTGATGCCCGCAGGAGGCATTTGGCCAGGGGTGTTTTTACACCACAGACAAGGTTTGAGAAGAAAAAAAATCATTATGATTATGAAATCTAATTATATTTTCCTTAAAATGTTCTTCCTAACTTCAGGCCTTATTCTCATGTCATATATAACTGTGATGTTCTGCAAAACAACAAGCTTTAAAACACTTTTTTCTTACTGGTGAAAATCAGATGGTCAGATCTGTTTTCTCTCAGGTGCATCGCAGTGTAAGCTTCACAGTGAACATTACTACATCACTCTCGTCAACGTAGTCCATATCAACAACAAAAATATATCTTGACTCCATATAGTGGTTATTTTGGGAAAATCACAGGTATTTTTAAAAGATATGTGCTAATATAAAATTAAATTAAGTAGCCTATATAAAATTGCCAAATAAATCTATCTAGCAGTACTTTTTTACTCAAGTACATAAAAAATTGAGTACTTTTGTACTTTCACTCGAGTAAAATTGAAAAAGGAGTACTTTTACTGGAGTAATATTTTATTATTATATGTATCTGTACTTTTACTCAAGTACTTGATTTGTGCACTTCGTCCACCACTGGATAATAATAATTTCAGCAGCTCTGTTAATACATTTATTATAACATTCACACATAGTGTTCAAATTGGGATCTGTAATATTTACTTTCTAAAGTTTTAAAAGAAACTCAGCAACTTCTGCTCAGCAAGGCAGCTTTTATTTGTATAGTAAAAAAATACATGCCTGATTCAAGAAGGGGGTCTGACGGCCAAAAAATATTATTTTACTCACTTATTAATTTTAAGTTAAATTGTGCTTTGTTGGTATAGTGTCTGCTAGAATGTTAAAAAATGTTCAGTGTTAAATATTTTTAAGTTGTTGTTTTGTAATTGATTTTTTCTTTGAAAAGCAAGACAAAACAGTAAAAAGCACATTTTGGCTATTTAATTTGTGCAATGGTGAAAAAAATTGGCAAAATACATGGGAAAACAAAATCGAAAAAGCGTATTCAGTATTCAGCCTTCGGCCCAGTGTTTCACTTTGTTCGGTTTCGGCTTCGGCTAAGAATTTTCATTTCGGTGCATCCCTAAATGTTACATTACGGTGGATCCTGTTCTGGTATATTTTCTTCATGGAAAAATGACTGCAATCTATATTATCCCCTAAAGAGGAATTATGTATATGTCTAATTTGTCCCCTTCCTGCTTTTCCTCCATTCTACCTCAGATTAAGTAAAACTTTCATTTTCTATGCAGTTTTAGGATCTGATCATCACATCTAAACCCGGAACTTCTCACTACTGAAATGAATCGCAAACCAGGCCTCAAATCCGCTCTGAACATCAACTTCCACCAACAGTCCTACGTGAACCACCTCCCTCCCCTGAAATTGCTGTAGCTTTTCCTGTGTTTGAGAGGATAAGAGAGTCTGCCCACGCCTGTCTGGACTCACAAAGCTCTTAATAATAAGGCCGCTCTATAAACTAGATGTGAATGCTAAACTATCGGCGAGAATACAGATGGTACAATGAACAATAAATATTCATGCAAGCAAACATGCAACAACATTAGCATGTAAACAACAGCAGACATGGTTTCAGAAAGCTCAGTCTTTTTTCCTTCCTTTCCCCCACAAAACAACTCAAATTTGCACACTTTAAACACTTTACTCTATGAATGCTTTTGCATTAGATAACACAGCTAGTGCAAAGATAGCAAAAGCAAGCTATTCATGCAGAACATGGGGTCATGAACTGAGAAACCAAAATTCCCTTTTGATATAAGAGGTCATTACTATAAAAACATCCTGAAACTTTACGCTAAAAATGGCTTACATTGAAGCCAATCTGCCAAAACAACAAGTTGTGGAATGTGCCACTTTATGATTTAATAGTGTGGCTAAACACCGCATCTGCAGAAGAAGATCAATGCCTGCTTTTACATCACTGCCAGTACCTCTACTAGGATACCTGTGTGAACTTGAGGGGAATTGACTTCATCAACAAAAATTGACCTCAAAACCAGTTAGTTAAAAATAATGGCACATAATGACCATGAACCGTAAAGTCAGCATCATATATAGCATTATTTGTTTACAGACGCCAGTTGATTTGATAATTAGCTATAGTTACTATTCTAATGCAGGGATTCCCAAACTTGCTTTGTCAGCAGAGCCCATTTGACATAAAATATTACATATAAATACTTGAGATTTTAAGTTAGTATTTCTTAAAAACTTAAAAACACATTTTTTCACAGTGCTCTGATGTTGATTAATGGTAAGATGTAGGAAAGTAAACAAATAAATATTTTATGTATTTTTCCCCATATAAATGATTTATTTTAATTTGATATTTTTATGATTTAATTAATTATTAGCTCTTTATCAACTCCCCTGCAGTTCCCTCATGATCTCTAGTTTGGAACAACTTGAGCGAATGCAACAAACTCATACATTTTAAGTGCGGCAAAAGTGCTTTTTGGGGCCACTCATGTACAAAAACGAGTCATGAACGTACTCATCAACTTGTACACATACTTGTCTTCATAGCATTTGACCCTTTTAGTTCACTAAACTACCTACTGCTTTACAAAAACAAGCTTACAGCACAAACATTTACAAAGAAACACACTTACACTCCTCCAGTGCTACAAAAGGCCTCTGTCTACCTTGAACAGTGATCGAGGATCAGTATTGATACCAAAGCAGAAAAGACTAATGAGGCTGTAATCAAGGGATTAGCCTTTTAGCCCACCTGAGCTGGGCTCTGGTGGGCTGATGTTCACAGATGTTCCCACCTGATTTTTATTAAATGTCTGCTATGAAAAGGTCAACATGCAGTAAAAAAGTTTTATTTTTCAAGCATTGCTACTGCGATCATCTTTATACTAGGAACAGAAAGGGACCCTGTCAAACACAGTTTAGTAACACAGGGCAAACCCCCGGTATCAAATCCCCTTGACGTCAGTGAGATTACACAGTGTTCACTTCAGATACAGCATGCCTTCGGTATGCCTCCATTAGGATCAGGCAAACCTCATGCTGGGAATCTAGCACCTGCAGAGCAAAGTATCTTGCAGTTTTGGTCACAACTGCATGTTTGAAAGCACAAAACGCAACTTTGCTTTGCTCTTTGTTGACCACATGAACAGTCTGAAGCGATGGCGCTCTGATAACATTGGTCATTATGTGAATGTGCCATTGTCTCAAGAATAGAAATTCAGATGTGAAAGTCACCAAAACACAGAGGAACACGAACATGTGACTCTCATACAAAGGACACTGTGCACCACCTGACTAACCATGCAGTCTGCAAGAGAGATAGCTCTTAAACCAGCAGAAGTGAGCCGTCAGCAGCTGGAAAGCCAATGGCATGCTGTATCAAAGTGCTGACGGTGCCCAGAGGTGACTCTGCAAGCAGTGAAGCAGTCCTCCTTTCAAGGAGAATCCATATCAAAACATTGGATGAGAAAAAGACATTTACTACTTCAGCGTCATGCCAATAACAAGCACACTTTTATGCACAATTCCCGACAGAAATGCAATCTTCTAAGACTGGTTTCTAATTTCTTATGCCTGCAGGCATCCAAACCCTGCTCGTCCATACTTTTATACACAGTGTTGGCTACAACCTACTATAATTCATTCCAGAAAACCCAATATTGAAACTGTGCCCGCAGCTTTTAAATTGGTGTACTCTGTCACGCTAATTTATAACGCAAAGAGTTCTGTCTCTCCTTGCTTTCACACGTTTTAGGCACTTACCTTGATGGAGTTTGTACTGAAACGAATCTTCCTGCTGGGGGGTGGTTCATCTTCCACAGGCAGCCCAGGAATTTCCGAACAGCTGGATTCTGGTTCATAAGTATCATCATCCTCAGCCTCCTCATCTTCATCCAGCTGACTCCCACCAGAGTCCTCTCCGATCCCGCTATACGCGCTGATGTCCACCAGGTCTGCTTCTGAGATATCCTCTCTGTAGGATTCCTCCTCGACGCAGGCCTGTCCAATTTCCTCCTTTCGTTCTGAGGGCTCATGGCTGTTGGTGGCCTCTCCATTTTCCAGAGAGGCGTGAACATCCGCCTGTACCAGTCTGCTCCCTGCATCTGGTGCTCCTGGTGCTGCATGCTCCTCTGGTTTGGAACCCTCTTCTGACCTGGACTTATCTAAATCTGTACCAGCAGCCACATCCTCGGATGGTTTGCCTTTGGGTCCATCAGCTTGGATGCTTGTTCTACTCTTCGGACTCCCAGGTGCAGCCTCTTGGTCATTGCGCTGAGCTCCCTCCTCTTGGTTCTCTGTCGGAGGGGAGACTCGTGTCTTTCTAGTGACAACTTTGGCGCTGATTCCTCCCACCTTGGCCGGGGTAGAAGGCAGCGGGGAGGTTGAAGACGGTCGGAGTAGGTTGTTGCGCTGGTCGGCCCGTTCAAACACTGCACTCAATTGGCTGACTGTTGGGGATACTGCATCTGCGCGACAGTCCCCCGCATCCAGTCTGTCCAATGACTCTGTGCTGCCGTTGAAGCGCACCACCACATCCAAACGGCTGTCTTGGAAGCCCGATGCCCGCTCTTTCTTTAACAGGATTCGATTAGTCGCAGCCTGCTTCTCCTGCAGGTGACGCTGCTCAAATATCTTCCGTGTCTCCTGTAGCTTGGAGGAGCTTGTGGTTGGTCCACGGGAGCTGCTACCATCGAAGCGGCTAACTCGCTCTGACACAGTCCCGCCGAGTTTGAGCAGCGCGCTGTGATCCACATTCTCATTCAGACTGCTCGCTCTGGGGAGGGAGAGTCGGATGGACTGGTCTTTGGCCTTCGACGGATCCTCTTCTTCCCCAGGGGAACCCATTTGCATGAACATATTCTTGATGCGGTGCACATTGGAGCCGTACTTGCAGCCCCGGCCCTGGGGTCGAGGTTTCCCATGCTTACTTTTACGGTTTACATAAAAATTTCACAAAAACAAGAGTAAATGAAGATGCAAGAGCAATTTTAAATATACAACCTTTAAAAAAAAGGTACAAACTAAACATCACAACAATATTTAAAGACTAAAGGAAACAGTTTACGCAGTGATGCAAAACACTTCCGTAGTGACTCAAATTTCCTTGAGATGCACGTTGAGGTGTGTAGACTACAACTTACATAACAGCTTTCAAACCTTTTAAACAAAAATAATTAATTTAGGTATTTAAATGGGGCTGATAGCTGTGCTTCAGAGCTGGCAGACCATCTTAGACCGGCATCAAAGCCTCTTAAGGTGACCAAGCTGGTTTTTATAACACATTAGCTGGTCAAAATTCAGCAAGAAAATGAACTAGAGCCCAGATACCATGTTACAAAACACAGCTCTCAGCTTAAGCTGGATTTTCTTACAGGGCTGGATCTCTGTAGACAACGAATTGATCTTTCTGTCAGATAAAGGAAGTCCGATCATGAACGAAACCGTAAACAGTGACAGGAACATGAGACACTTTCAAGTCATTTGATATATTAAACGGGTCATGAATTCTTGGGAAATCCCATGCACACTGGCATGGGACAGGCAGGCTTTTTGTGATCCCATGCTGCTGCTGCCAGTAGATTACTTATCTTGGCAGCATGAATCAACCAGCCTTTAGGCACCGAAACATCGGCCGTCGTTTTAATACCGCTTCATGTCGAGATGTTCCTTGTGTGCAAGACAGACTATATCGCTAATTAAAAAACTGTAAGATATATCGTTTCTGTGTGAAGTAGTGTCAACTGATTGAAGCAGCAGCCTGTAAAAACATCACATTAGGACCCAGCGGAGCGAGCGGGCCGCGCTCTCCGCAATGATGCCTCGACTTCCTGCATCCTCCACCGTCCAAATAACGGTTCTGCCGTTACAATCAAACAAAAACAGCAAAAGCACCACATACAACAAGTCGCGCTCTCCTTAGAAACTGGACGTACCTTGTGTCTCGTGTTCATCGAAGACTCTGTCCTTTAATCGACGGAAATTCCTTTCGTTCGCGAATCCATTGTGTCCACGAGCCGTTTTAGCCGGATCATGAACGAAACCGTAAACAGTGACAGGAACATGAGACACTTTCAAGTCATTTGATATATTAAACGGGTCATGAATTCTTGGGAAATCCCATGCACACTGGCATGGGACAGCCAGGCTTTTTGTGATCCCATGCTGCTGCTGCCAGTAGATTACTTATCTTGGCAGCATGAATCAACCAGCACCGAAACATCGGCCGTCGTTTTAATACCGCTTCATGTCGAGATGTTCCTTGTGTGCAAGACAGACTATATCGCTAATTAAAAAACTGTAAGATATATCGTTTCTGTGTGAAGTAGTGTCAACTGATTGAAGCAGCAGCCTGTAAAAACATCACATTAGGACCCAGCGGAGCGAGCGGGCCGCGCTCTCCGCAATGATGCCTCGACTTCCTGCATCCTCCACCGTCCAAATAACGGTTCTGCCGTTACAATCAAACAAAAACAGCAAAAGCACCACATACAACAAGTCGCGCTCTCCTTAGAAACTGGACGTACCTTGTGTCTCGTGTTCATCGAAGACTCTGTCCTTTAATCGACGGAAATTCCTTTCGTTCGCGAATCCATTGTGTCCACGAGCCGTTTTAGCCCTCTTGATTCCCCCCCACGAGCTTGTGTCGCGCCTCCCTCTCTCCCTCTCTCTCTCACACACACACACTCTCTCTCTCGCTCTATATATATACCCTTGTGCACTTCTCTCCTCTTCACCGCTATAGTACACAGAAGCATCGCAGGTTATTTTAGCACAACAAATAGAGATTTACACTGGTAAGGTGGCAAAAACGGAACAATAGATTTGCACAGTAGTAGCATAAAAAGGTGTAGTGGCGTAAGCTGGTAGGATATGTACATTAATTCCCATATTAATAAGTAGTTGTAGCATTTTTTAGATGTAGTACAGCAAGTTAGAGATATTTTGTCAAATCATGCCATATATAGCCTACATTCATTCCCGTTTTAATAAACTACTTAGAGATCATGTGTATAGAGATTTTTTCTTTGTCTACCTTTGTTTCCCTTTCCTCTTCATTTGTTTGTTTACTTCAACACATTTAAGATATCAACACACGCTTTGGTGCTTTTAGACTTAAGCTCTGCATTTGATATGGTTGACCACAATATTTTGATTTCCAGGTTGGAGAGCTGTGTTGGGTTTCAAGGTGTTGAAATGCTTTTCAATCCTTTTTAACAAACAGAAATTTGAGTGTTTCCATTGGCCAACATCCTCACGCCCACTTGCTTGTGGGGTGCCACAGGGCTCAATTCTTGGCCCCGTTTTTATTTTCTATATTTATGCTACCAATGGGTGCTATCTTTGAGAAATATGGAGTGTCCTTTCATACGCGGACAGAGGCGGACAGTAACTAAGTACATTTACTTGAGTATTGTACTTAAGTACACTTTTTGAGTATCTGTACTTTACTTGAGTATTATTTTTTCTGGGAACTTATGACTTTAACTTCACTACATTTGAAAGACAAATATTGTACTTTTCACTCCACTACATTTCTATCAAG